CAGCTTTCCCAGGAGTCTCCCCTCCAGGTACTGGCCAGGCTCACACCTGCTGGGCTCCAGTGGGGGGGGCTGCCAGCTGGGAGCTGCAGGGGGACACAGCTGCTGGAAAGTGATCGAAAGATCTTAACCAGCCGTTTCTTACATACCCAAGAACCTGGCAACGCTAGTATATGGAAACTAAAACACTACAGTAGGAGCCGAATAGCACTATGTGGTGATGAGCACTATGTCTTTGTATCTCCAACCTGAAAGGTTTTCTTCATTGTGTAAGACAGCAGTGCTGACCACTGTGTCACCATATCTCCCTCTCCTACGATCTACTGACACTAAAATAACATTTGGGTTTGGACCAGAACCTTATTGTGGAGGGTAACACTGAGGAAGAAATGAATGATGCACGCTGTTCAAAGACAAGCACGTTAAGGACGGTGTAATAGGGCAGATGTCTGAAATATAAAGATATACTTCAAGAGGAAAACAAAAGCTTTTCAACGTCTGTATCCATGGTAAGACCGTCACTCAGGGGCATTAGTGCCAGGACTCATCAGGGTCTGATTACGAGTTGAGCCATGCCAGATCACCAGTACGATGCAAGCACGCATCTTCTCTTCCGGACAAAGCTGATTGTTCCTGTGGCCCTGCACCCAGCGTCTATCACCCGGTCCTCCAAGTCACTTGCTCGCCCCCGTGCAATTATAAATCTCGCAAACCAGCGCGCCCCCCTGTCCTGCTCGCTCGTAAAACAGGATTATACCCAAACCGGTTTTGTGTTTGTTTTTTTCCCCAAAGACAAACCTCATTTGAGATTTCCTGGGCAAAGAGCAAACAGAAAACCAATCACATTATGTACACACCGCAGCAGATTACAGGATATGCATTATAGAGGCACTACTGAAGAAAAGTGCCTGGTTTCAGGCTCAATATTGTAAAGCCCAGGAATAAAATTCAAAATCCAACCACTGATCATGCATAGTTTTCACGGCAGGTTTCATTGCATTGAAGCACAGAGAACAAGCCAATTCACTGCATCAGGCAGTGGAATCTGACTGTCTTCTTTCCTCTTCTTAAAGAGTCTGGCGGCCCACACAAGTGCCCTGCCTCAGGGCGGTGCTCGTAACCGACTCTGGGTCCGGCCCACAGTGGGGCAAGGTGGGAAAACTGGGATCTGATCGGCTCCGGACGCCCTTCTGCTCCGTTGCTGCCGGACTCTTGCCTCTCCTCTAGCACGGGGTCTCTCCCAGGGGGCACCGTCTGCGCCAGGCTGGAGGCTCATGCCAGCCGAGCCAAATCCGACACAAACTCCCCCCCGCAGTTTCACTCCTCCCTCCGTTTCCTAACGGTTTTCATCCGTAAGATACGAGGACGGGGTCGCTGGGGCGGGGAGTCTATCCCAGCAAGCAACAGGCACAAGGCAGGGTACACCCTGGATGGGACGCCTGTCCATCTCAGGACAAACAGGTGGGGCTGCACACTGCACACTGGTGGCGGTAGTGGGATTCTCCATTACCTGTAAAAGGCCTTTGAGTGGAGTATCCAGAAAGAAGCTGTATAAATCTAAGGAATTATTATTATTATTATTATTATTAATAATACACTCACACTACCAGGGCCAATTTTCTCAGAAGCCAATCAACATCCCAGCTTGTCCCCACACAAACCACAGGGAGGACAGACACCACGCAAATAGCACTCCAGGCCCAGAACTCCAGCCAGGGGCCCAGTACAGACTGGAGAGAGCCGTCAGAAGATGGGTGTGTGAGTGTGTGACGTCGACGGACATGACGCACTTTAAACGGGTCTAATGCTAAACCACGTGATTGGTGGCGTCAGTCCAGCGACCATCGCTTCGACACTCCTAGTCTCTAGAACGGCCGCCGGACCGTGTCTGATCATTGATCTGGAGCACCTGGAGTCGATCGCAAGCCTGTTGTTCCAGCTCGTTTCTCGTAAGTCGCTCGTGTTTCCCTCCTGCGTGGGCCCCTAGACACTGTAGGGAAACCCGGCACTAACTGGTGGATCACGATCCTCTCATCGGGAAACTTAACAACATTCATTTCCACCCCACTTCTGAGCCCGCGCCTCGTCTTTGCTCGACTGCTTTCCGTTTTTTGTTTGTGTGTTTGTTTGTACCGTCTCGGGAATATCAAAATGTCCGGCGCCGGGGACGAATACTTTTCCCGGCGTTGCGCACAGCACGTCCCACCTGCCTCCTCCGGCGGCGTCATTCTCGGGGGACCGGTTACCCGCCGTTCCTGTCTTTCTGTATCCCACGAAACTTCGTGGAAGCGAGCAACTGACCTCTCGGGGGTTACCTGCGACGGCCGTGGCGAGCGGCCGCGCCGTGATGACGTCACCGCGGCGAGTCGGCGAGGTGCATCCTGGGGATTCCGGCCGGTCCTGAGCAGTGCGTGATTTTTTGGGGGGGATGCCGGAGAGCCGAGCCTTTTCAAAAGCCCGCTTGACCACCAGGTGCGAGAACTGTCTGCATGCGGCAGTGTCAGTTACTAACTCGGTTTCCCTGCGAGACGCCAACTGACAACACGTCAGCGAAGCAGGCGTCACAGCCGAAACGTTGTGTTTTCTTTTCCAGTATGGAATAAACCTATTACTTGTTCCGTTGCAGACTACGCATGCCACCCACCTGAACTATAATAATAATAATAATAATAATAATAATAATTCGAGGGGCTCTGGAAATCCCAGCCTTCTGGGGTGTGAAACAAATCACACTTGAGAAACTTGCATTTCTGTCTTCCTGTGTCCCTTTGAGATTGACGAGATGGACGCGGTGCTATTTTCATAAATCAGGTCAATGTGCGCTTTGAGGGGACGCGGAATAGGCACGCCGGAGGTTTGAGATCTGGAGGGTGAAAACGACGCGGCCCCCGTCTCTCCCTCGGCAGGCTGGGCCCCGGTGTCGTCCCGTCCCGAGAAACACGGGGGTTCGGTCTCTGGGGCTCGGAACCGGAGACAGCTCTCCCGTTTGGTCAGGACACTGGGGTAACACCCCTACTCTTGTCGAGAAACCCCCTGGGATTTTTAATGACCACAGAGAGTCAGGACCTCGGTTTTAGGTCTCGACCGAAGCACAGCGCCTGTTTACAGTCTAGTGTCCCCGTCACTATACTGGGGCATGAGGACCCACACAGACCGCAGGGTGAGCGCCCCCTGCTGGCCCCACTCACACCTCTCCCAGCAGCAGCCTCAGCTTTCCCAGGAGTCTCCCCTCCAGGTACTGGCCAGGCTCACACCTGCTGGGCTCCAGTGGGGTGTGTCAGCTGGGAGCTGCAGGGGGACACGGCTGCCGGCTTAACTCGAAACGAAGTTAGGTTTGCCTTTATGAAAGCGAATTTCACCCCTACTGACTGACCGGCCAAGTGCACTTGACAGTAATTGGGCATTATAATTTACGCAGAGGGAACAGGGTGTTCGACTGTTACGAGGGCGTTAAATACGAGCGTGTATTCCGCAGAGGATCACCGGTAGCTGGAAGTTTCATGGGTAACAAGCTCGGAAAAACTGAAATAAAACAATTGAGACGCGAACAGCTACAGACAATCATCCAAAACCCTAACAGGGCAGAATAAAAAAAAAAAGGGGTTCAGATCTCAGACAAACTACAGAGGCTTTCCAGTCCAGCAGAACAAACGAAAGAGCTTTTGTTTCTTTTTTAAAAAACAAATATATGCAGATGTGAGAATGACCTTTTCAAACGGCCGTTTTGGTAAGCAAATCAGCGTCGATTCCACTTTTTACCCTCGCCGGCCGCGTCGCTCGCTCGTCTCACGGGCTGATCACCTGCGGGATCGCCTGAGAAGGGATCTCCCCTCCCTAACCGCCTTTAGGCTCTGGCAGGGAGCAACGGGTTGTCCCGTCCCCGACAAGCGAAGACGGAAACGCCGCCCCGTCCAGCGCGCTGTCTTTTATAAACGTTTATAAGTTATACGCCAGGTGCGGGCATCGGAACGCAAAACAGGTGCACACGCAAAACCGTGACGCCTGCCCTCTCGCCAGCTCGTGAAGCGACAACAACAACAACAACAACAACAACAACAACAAAATCGCTTTCGTCTCCGTCTCCTGATCTCCTGCCCGTTAAATCCCCCCGGAGCGATTTGGAGAATGGCTCCAGTATAAACAAGTCAAAGTGAACCAGAACCAGCACACGACTCAACCCGACGAAACAGCATCCGCGACGGGTCTCTCCGCGCCCCACGTCTGGCGGACGGCGCGACCCGGGGATTCCGGCGTGACCATCCGCGCCTCTCTCCCACGGGGCAGCTGCGGAACGCGGTTCGGTCCGTTCGCCGGAGCCTGCGCGCTGAGCCCCGAGCCCCCTTTCCGCCGGCAGCGGTGGGTCGCTCATCCCAAGGGGAATCCCCCGGAGAACCGTACAGTAAAACACCCCTTTTGTCTCCCGACAGCTGTCAAAAAAACAAACCGACCGACAAAACCCACGCACCCGCGAGGCAGAAGCTTAAGGCTTCCAATCCCGCCACCGTGCCCGGTCACACGCGTTTCCCGCGTCCGCCTCCCTGCCTACCTGTACGAGGTCTGCTTCCTGAAAGCCAGACCCCTCAGCTTCTCCTCCAGCGACTCTTCCCCGTCCTGGCGGCCGCCCTGGGACCCGCCGGTCCTCGCCGCCTCGGCTCGGCCGCCGCCGCCGCGCTCCTCGCCTCCTTTCCCGGCGGCTCCCGGCGGGCTGGTGGGGCTGAAGTTCTGCGGGTCTCCCGGTGGCGGACAGGGCACGGCCAGGGGGTCCATAACCCCCCTCCCCTCCTCCTCCTCCTCCTCCTCTTCTCCTCCTCCTCCTCCTCTCCGCGGCGGCGGCGGTGGTGGT